TGCAGTGTTTGTGTGATCGGGGGCAGCTTACAGTGTTTGTGTGATCCGGGGCAGTTTGCAGTGTTTGTGTGATCGGGGGCAGTTTGTAGTTATTTTTTGTGATCGGGGGCAGTTTGCAGCATTTGTGTGACGGGGGTTGTTCGCAGTGTTTGTGGGATGTGGGCAGTTTGCAGTGTTGGTGTGATGGGGTGGGGGCACTTTGCAGTGTTTGTGTGACGGGGGTAGTTTGCAGTGTTCTGTGAATGGAGACAGTTTGTAGTTTTTTTTTGGGATGGTGGGGGTGCAGTTTGCAGTGTTGGTGTGACCGGGGACAGTTTGCAGTACTCGTGTGATGGGGGCAGTTTGCAGTGTTTGTGGGACCGGGGGTAGTTTGCAGTGTTTGTGGGACCGGGGTCAGCTTACAGTGTTTGTGTGATCGGGGGCAGTTTGTAGTTATTTTTTTGATCGGGGGGTAGTTTGCAGTGTTCGTGTGATCGGGGGCAGTTTGCAGTGTTTGTGTGACCGGGGGCAGTTTGTAGTTATTTTTTGGGATCGGGGGGCAGTTTGCAGTGTTTGTGTGATCGGGGGCAGTTTGCAGTGTTTGTGTGATCGGGGCAGTTTGCAGTGTTTGTGGGACCGGGGGCAGTCTGCAGTGTTTGTGTGATCCGGGGCAGTTTGCAGTGTTTGTGTGATCGGGGGCAGTTTGCAGTGTTTGTGTGATCGGGGGCAGCTTACAGTGTTTGTGTGATCTGGGGCAGTTTGTAGTTATTTTTTGGGATCGGGGGGTAGTTTGCAGTGTTTGTGTGATCGGGGGCAGTTTGCAGTGTTTGTGTGATCGGGTGCAGTTTGCAATGTTTGCGTGATCGGGGGCAGCTTACAGTGTTCGTGTGATCCGGGGCAGTTTGCAGTGTTTGTGTTATCGGGGGCAGTTTGTAGTTATGGGATCGGGGGGGCAGTTTGCAGCATTTGTGGGATGGGGGCTGTTTGCAGTGTTTGTGGGATGGGGGACAGTTTGCAGTGTTTGTGTGATGGGGGACAGTTTGCCAGTATTTCTGTGATCGGGTGCAGTTTGCAGTATTTCTCAATGTCAAGGTTGTCATATTTAGAAAGATCGTGACGCAGGTTGATCTAAAAAGAGAGTCTCCAACGCACCTCTCGTCTTCCCAGTCTAAGCCTGTTGATTCATTTTGAACCCAATCAGAAAGATTTCCGACACGAGTCGAGTGGCTGTCAGCTTGCGGACGTGCCTTTCATTCTTCGGTGTCACTCGAAGTGCCGTTGATTTGTTTTTTTTGCCCCGGACCACCTTAAATGTCTGACGACAGCATCTCCAGGACAACAGCTTTACGCTGCAAGGACAGGGCTAGAAAACACACTGACACCGAGCTTCCTTTCAGTACCCACTAGATTTTGGACAGCTCCCTGCTGCCGCACGCTCCCTGAGCCAGAACAGTGCAACTCGCCCCAGGTCCGGATCTAAAAACCTACAGCGGCCCCGGACACCAGCCGAAAACCTGCAGCTCAGGCAGGGAAGCGAGTGGTCCTGACCCGAATCCAGTTGCTATTAGCCAAGTGTGTGCTTTCCGAATCTGGGTCACAGACCTACATTCACCGAGGGAGTCCGAGATTAGGAGCAGACAGCTGCGCGCAGAAAGCCAGTGCCCAGCCGCAGAAACTCCACTTTTTTTAACTTCTATCACCATTTGTCCCTGAACCTGCACCAAAGCAGGCATCGCAAACTTCACTCTTGGTGAGTATGTGTACTTGTAGCGTGCAGTCAGATCTCTCCCACTGTAGAAAGCCTCTCACTTCACTGCCTCAGAATTCCTGGATAAACCACGGGCATCAACGTCTGTTGCCTTTTCTGATTTCTTGCCCCCCACCCCCACAGTTAATGTTCAGGGTGAGTAGCAGAGGAGATTAAACCTCAGTCCGGCACAACTCTCCACTGGGTCAGTAATAATACCCACATGGCGAATTAAGCAAGTTCAAACTGGGACGCCCTGACAGCCTGGGATCAACTCTGTCTCTTTCTGCATCAGCCTGTCCACCGTATTGTGTTCTCGCAGTCAGAGTGAGAGCAACAATGTCTAGGATAGGACTCCATACCCTATTAATATCAGTCATGTAAAGGTAACAGCACCCCGCCTGGTCAAATTTGTTCACTGTATCTCTCCAGTGCACGGTTTAAAGTCCGGGACCGGGTTGAGAAACAATTGCACAGAGTGCCCACTTATCACTGGGGTAGAGATGCCAGTCTACAGCGCTCACAAGTTCTGTCTATATCCATCTCAGTGTGGGACAGCCATTCTCTGTATACCTACACCGCGTTGTAATCACCGCCCAGAGCGGTTTTCTTGTCAAGAGATGTGAGAAACAACTGTGCATTACATAACATTTCATATGTACAACATCTTCCAGCTGTGTATGGAGATCTATGTGCGGCAGTTTATACAGAGTGCTGCAAACAGTTGCCATAGGTGAAGCGAGTCCAGCCCCAGCCCCCAGCCCCCAGAGTAAGTGTGTGTGAGCTAGGATCACGGTTAGCAATGCGGTTGGCACCTGGAGCTCTGGGACGGCGAGCTGATTTTATTAATTAATCGATCTTGTTAGTCTGCTGTTCACTAACGCTTTCAACCATTGCGAGACCTCCATCAGAAATACATTCAGATCCGATCGAGGATCGGGAGAGGCTGCGGGAGAGCAGAAGCTACTGAGAGAGTGGGGATTTCGGACTGTGGCACAGAATTGCAATGGAAGATTTTGGGTAAATCTGATGCTGTCGTCAGTGAAGCCGCATAGGGAGAGTGGGGTCAGCCGGCTGTCGGCCTGCTTCTCTCTGACAGCCCGCTCAGTTTTTAGTGGGATCGAGCTCCAGCGGGGTGTACACATCTATCACATTGTCTCCATCCTCACTAGTCCCAAGCATTAACAAACAAACAAGTCTTGGAAGTGTCACCTTTGTTTCTCCCCAGAGCACGGGGCATGGTCGATGTTAGTGGCACAGCTATATCAATCCCGTTAATTTAAGGTTAGGTTGCTGAATAAGCCGCATCATTTAGTCCGTTGTGCTATCATTATCAACCAGTACCATACATAATTGATGAACCTGACCCACAGGTCAAGTCTGTTCGTGCGTCAGGGAGTGAGATACTCTATGTCAGCACAGGGATGTTTTTAGTACTGTACGTGGATTTTTTTGTACTTGTTTGCCACTCAATCTCAGCCTTCTTTCAACTAGATCATGGCTGATCCGCACCTGTTTTCCATTTACTTGGCTGTGCTCCATTTTCCTCCAGACTGTTCCCAAACAAAACAAAAAGAAATCAATCGGTCTTGAAAGTTTATGTATAACATCCTTTACTTCCTATAGAGGGAAGGGGTTGAGAGACTATGGCGGGGGCGGTTGTGGGGGGACAGAATGCCTGCAACCTCTTGTATCAAAACAAGCTTCCGGATTTGCCCCTTTTTTTGTCCAATGTGAAGATTATGACCCTCACCAGAAGAAGTGATTTGTCTATGTCTGCCGTTTCAAATCTCTCAACATTTTAGCCACTGCTCATCAACTCTGGAATTATAAGAATCAGTTATACTTTTAATTTTTACATAAACAAATTTAAATTTTGTTTTCCTTATGCTCACTTATAGCTTTGGAGAGGCTAGGGAGGATCCAGCTGGTACATACACCGGGAGGCTGTTACTCCCAATCAATAGTTGTTCTGATCTGGAATGCATCGTCTGGAAAGCTGGGCGGGAGGATATTCAATAGTAACATTTGAAGAGGAATGTCATAGGCACTTGCAAAGGAAAAGCTGCCGGGTTGTGAGGGGAGGCTGGAAAACCGAGACTGATTGGATAATGCTTACTAAGGGGCAAATTAGACACTTCGGCCGTCTTCAGTGGTTGAATAATAATTGCCTCTGTTTCCATGTGACCGGAACATTTCGGAAAGGAGATGCAGTCCATGTGCTGAGTGACATGGTACTAAGTCGAAGGAGTTAAATGACTGAATACTGCTAAATATAGAAAACTGTTATATAAAAAAATACAGATCCAGTTGTTCTTCTTTTAGGTCATAGATTATTTAGAAAGGAAGTGTGTTTGGTTTTGCGGTGAAATGGCTTTAAATGGGCATTGCTGTCTCATTATATTATAAGAGGAACTTAATTTATTAGTCTTACTCATAATAATAGCAGAGTGCAATGGTTTCAAATGAAGATTTCCTCACAAACTTTTATTGGAGTCTGGAGGCATACAATTGCAAAGTTGAGCTAACAAATTTCAAATTTCAAGACCAGCAAGCATGAAACCTATACAAGGCAGGTTTTACCAATCAGATTACAACCAGGCCAATATTATTGATCACCAATAGACCATAAGTTGTAGCAAAGTCCACCCTTGTCAGTCACCTTTGTTTTTGACTGGTAATTAGAAATTATATAAAAATAATTTTTAAACATTTTTTAAAAGCTATTTTCCATATTATAGGCTAAAATGTTACTGTATTTATGGCATTGATCTTTGCTTTTCATCTTTCTCTTTCATTGGTTAAAAATAAGAAGAGAGGGTAGATACAGGCAGTATGAACATATCAATCACATTTTCTGCAGATTCAGATATAATGTGTGCAGCAGAAAGTATATTAATAGTTAGATGCCTCTCTTCTTCCTGATAACTTCTCAAAATTGCAACATTAAGACATCAAGATTGAAATTTGTTGTTTTTTTAATGGATAAGTGGCATTTGTTCTTGCAAAATATTTTGATTGATTAAAATAGTTAAAAAAAACTGTATCAATAGTTTCAATAGGAGTTTTAATTCATAACCAAGTAAGTATGACCATTGCACATTAATTCAGCAAATGATGCCATGCATAAAGGTTGCTTCTCCTTCAGGGAAGAGTCTCGCCCAGAGGGCATAATCTCAGAATAAGGGGTAGCACATTTAAAACAGAGATGAGGACAAATTTCTTATTTCAGGTAGTAGTGGATTTGTGGAATTCTTTAGCACAAAGAGCTGTTGGAGGCTGAGTTGTTCAATATATTCAAGGCTGAGAAAGACCACAATTTAATCAGTAACAGAATCAAAGGGAAAAGGCAGGAATGTGGAGTTGAGGATTGTCAGATCAGCCATGTTTGCATTGAGTAGCAGAGCAGATGTGATGGGCTGAATGGCTTATACCTGCTCCTATGTCTTATGGTCTAATAGCAGCAATTCAAACATTGATATTTCAAGGGACAACCCTGTTCTGTGCACAAATAATTACCAATAACAGGAATGGAACTGGGTAGTGTTGTTGAATGCAGAGACCTAGGGGTTCAGGTACATCGTTCTTTGAAAGTTGCCTCAGAGGTAGACAGGGTGGTTAAGAGGGCATTTAGCACACTTATCTTCATTGACCCTTGAGCATAGGAATTAGTCGCCCTGCTTTAAAAAGGATATTATTAAATTAGAGAGGGTTCAGAAAAGATTTACCAGTATATTCCTGGGACTGGAGAGTTTGAGTTACCCTAGGCTGGATAGGCTGGGAGTTTTTTCACTGGAGTGTTGGAGTTTGAGGAGTGACTTTATAGAGGTTTATGAGATCATGAAGGGCATAGATAAGGTGAATAGCAAAGGTCTTTTCCCTAGGGTGAGGAAGTTCAAAACTAGACGGCATATTTTTAAGGTGAGAGGAGAAAGATGGAAAAGAAAACCAAGGGGCAACAGAATACAAAAGACTTAGAGGGATATTGGCCAAACGGAAGTAAGTGGGACTAATTTGGTTGACCAGTTGGTTGGCATGGATTAGTTAGACTGAAGGGTCTGTTTCCATGCTGTATAAGTGAATGGGGACTGTTATGGCTAAGTGTCCTGGGAACATGTTTATCCTTTACATCAGGTGTTCTTGACAGTTACAGTTTGGCAGGGCTTTTCATATTAAATGTCTGCTGTCCTCCCACAGAGGTTCAAACCTTAGCTTTTCAAGCAGCTGAACAATGTTGTATAATAATGCCATTGTATGAAACATAGAGGACACACAGGGATTTGAGAATAAAGATTGCATTAATCAGGGAAATAAATCAGAACACATATTCATCCATGAAAAATTTAACAGTAAGTTGATACTTCCAATCATCATGTAGTGCACAACCAAGGTTATTTTTAGTTCATGGGTATTATCAAGCTATTCAGAGCTGAAAATGGGCCATTTGTTGAAAATCAGATAAACCTGGGATAAACATTGTGACCTTTTTCAAAGAAAGAAATTAGTATGTATTTTGGATTTTTTGAATAATGTGATTTATCTCTCTGAAACCTATGGAGGAAAGATAGATCAGCTGTTGACATCTTATATACATGATTTTAACCCAATCTACATTCAAATGAACAAGAATCCATAGGAAAATAAAACTATCATCTAACTCAGAATGAATGCTGTGAGGAAATTGAAAAATGAGATACAGGAAAGAAGGTAATACTTTTCAGAGGTTTAGTCTGCGTGCATTATTGGGACTAATAAAAATATTTACTCTGCCTCTAACTTTACTATATTCAAAATGGAAATTATGAATGCTGACATCTGGTGCTCAAAATGAGAAAGTGTTTTCTGACTGGATGATGAGTTTTCAATTAATCTAGATCAGGCACCTGGTCTTTATGCCAATTGGACTTCTTTGAGGCAATTTATTTTAAATGCTTTTGAAGAATTTTTTTTCAAATAACATTTTAAGATGCAGGAAGCAGGACTGGATTGCAGGCTCCTTGTCACTCCTGCTAGTTGCTCTGTACTTTTATTCTTGCACCAAGACCTATTTCAACTGAACTGCAGCAATATAAGATGGCTCATCAGCAATGACTCAGGGCGATTAGGGATAGGAGACAAATGCTGACTTTACACATGACACCCACACCCCGTGAAACAGTTTTTAAAATATAGGATGAATTGTTCCATGATTTCAGAATATGCAAATCTTGAAAGTAGCCATTTGGCGATTTTTGCAAAAAAGTTCAATGGAACCATTTTTATTAAGAAAAATCAATTTTGACAAAAGCATTATATGTTAAGACTGGGGTAAGTGGTTAGAGGGTGACAAATTAGAGGCAATCTTCAGAAATAATTATTCTATTGAGTGATTGGTAAATTGATGGAACATTCTTCATGGAGATGGCGGAGATTGATTGCTGTGCTTTGTCAATAACACTATCAATGTTCATTCAACAAGATAATGGAAGGTGAACTAGATGCACCCTGGCCTTTTTGCCTTTAGCTATTGCGACTGTTCATGTTCCTCTTTAGCCAGCAGTGCTATATTAATGTTTGTCATTAATGTTATCACAATATTTGCTTTAAGGTTATGTTTTAAGCTAGACATTGCTGCTAAGCTGACAAAGTGTTCAGATCAAATTTCTCTCCCTGGCAAGTTATTGAGGGCATTGTTTTAAGATATTTTATCACAACAGTTGAGAGTTAAAGAATGAATGATCATAGGTACGAGATCAAAAGTCGATTAAGGATAGAAAGCACAACAAACCTTATTTAAACATTTAAACATGAGGATGTGGAATTCATGTTCATGAACTGTGGTTGAGCAGAAACTTGAGAAACTTTCAAGTTTGGATTGGTCTAGAGAGGAAAAGTAGTTGAAATGATCTAGGTATAGGGTGGGCAAAAATAATTACAGAGAAAAAAATAAGAACTAGAAGCAGGAGTAGGCAAATCAGCCCTTCAAAATTCTCTGCATTTGATGCTATCATGGCTGATCTCATCTTAGCCTCAACTCCACTTTGCTGTCTGCTCTCTCTATCGGCCCTTCAAAGGAAAAAATACATACTTGTATTTCTTCAGTATCTTTTGTAACCTCAGAATATCCTAAAGTGCTTTACTGCTGAAGAGTATAGCAACTCAAGAAAGCGGCTCAGCACAACTTCCTCTACGGCAACTTGGAGAGGGCAATAAATGCTAGTCTAGCACCCACGTCCCATGAACAAATAAAATAAAAGTAGTTTTGAAATGTAGCCATCGATGCATTGTTGAGAAATGTGGTAGTCAATTTGTGCACAGCAAAGTCACACAAAGACAAATAATATCATGACCAGATAATTTGATTTAGTAATGCTGGTTGAGGGGAAAATGCTGGCTTGGCCATTAAAGAGAGTTTTCATGCTCATAAGTCTCTTCAGGGGGCAAATGGGGCCTCTGTTCAACATCTCATTCAGAAATGCCAGCCTAGATTTTGTGCTACAGTCACTGGAGGGAATCTTAAATCAACAATCCTCTGATTCAAAGGAGAAAGTGCTACCCTTTTTCTGATCGTAATTTGAATTATTTGCCTATAATGAGAGTGAACATTGCAGAGACTTTTACATAATCTGCTTCTGTAGTAACTACTATGTATTGAATGGGTGATATTTCCATTAAAGTGCCACATAGATTAATTTAATACATACAGCTTAAACATTTCATAGAATGAAGAATAGAATCCCTACAGTGTGGAAACAGGCCCTTCGGCCCAACAAGTCCACACCGAACCTCAGAGCATCCCACCCAGACCCTACCCCTATAACCCACCTAATCTAAACATCCCTGAACACTCTGTGGCAATTTAGCATGGCCAATCCACCTAGCCTACACATCTTTGGACTGTGGGAGGAAACCGGAGCACCCGGAGGAAACCCACACAGACACGGGGAGAATGGACAAACTCCACACAGACAGTTGCCCGAGGGTGGAATCAAACCCGGGTCCCTGGCGCTGTGAGGCAGCAATGCTAACCACTGTGCAACCGTGCCGCCAAGTTATTTGTTCAATAATATTCATTATTTGTTCAATAATATCATTCACCAATGATTTCCAATTAATTAAAAGGTGCAGTATATTCTCAGTAAAAACAACTCTTAATTTATCTGCAAAAAAATTTTGAACTGGGTTCTCTGAACATAAAAAGCTTTTTGCATCAGGTTTTTGTTTTTGTTACTTCATTACTGTTTGTCTTGGCAGCCGCTATGTTAATAAAACCCATTTCCTGTGATGGTAAGACTGATTTCAATTAGATTGCTATTTTCCAGTAATAAGGGCAGGGCTCCCAGAAATTCAGATTTTCAAGGATTTTAGCCATGCAGTGGAGATTTAAGACTAATGTGTTAATGATTTTCTTTTCTCTCTCCTCTGGATGTTTTAGTCAATGTAAAATTAAAGTAATGTTTACTGTTGTGTAAATGAACGTCATGTTTGGGATCATGAAGGTTTTCAGGCATAAATCCAACCAAATTTAAGATTAGGATTGAAGACTGTGCCAATATTGTTTGACACATTTAATAATTCTTGCAATGAATTAAACATAGGATGAAAATTATCATTGAAAGTCATGAGCAGATGTAATAGGTTTAACTTCAGCTTATGAGTTTCTAACTGTAAGTATGGTTACTTGACAGTGAATAAAATGAATAGGCTAAAATAAACAACTTCATATTTTGTGCGTTCATCCAGAATAAAGTTAGAACGGACAAAATTTCATGTGAAATGTGACCATTGTTTAACTTATCACTTTTCACTGCAGTTTTATTATTTACATGTTTTGGCAGATGGATGAGAGTGTTGACCTGCCAAACTGCATCATGGATGAGAATCTCGACTGTAGATTCAACAACCTTAACTGGGAACAGGTTCAGAGTTTGGATCAAGTCTTAACAGAAGTGATACCTATTCACGGAAGAGGCAACTTCCCCACACTGGAAATAAAGCCAAAAGACATTATTCATATTGTGAAGGATCGGTTGGAAGAGAATGGGATTATGGTCCATGATATTCGTCTCAATGGCTCAACAGCAAGTCACATCCTTGCAAAGCAAAACGGAACAAGTTACAAAGACCTTGACATTATCTTTAGAGTAGAGTTGCCTGGTGAGGAAGAGTTCCAGGTGGTAAAGGGAGTGGTGTTGGATTGTCTTCTGGACTTTCTACCACAAGGTGTAAATAAGGAAAAGATCACAGGGCTTACTTTGAAAGAGGCCTACGTTCAGAAAATGGTTAAAGTTTCCAATGATTATGATCGATGGAGTCTCATCTCCTTGTCAAACAACAGTGGGAAAAATGTTGAGTTAAAATTTGTTAATTCGTTACGGCGGCAGTTTGAATTTAGTGTGGACTCTTTCCAAATAATTCTTGACTCTTTGTTACCTCTTTTCTGTTGTCAAGAAAATGAAATGACAGAGGAGTCCCATCCAACTGTCATAGCAGAAAGCATGTATGGAAATTTTGAAGAGGCAATGGGTCACCTGAGATACAAACTGATAGCCACAAGAAACCCTGAAGAGATTCGAGGTGGTGGCTTGCTTAAATACAGCAATCTCTTGGTTCGAGAATTTAAACCAGCATCTGATACAGAAATCAAAGGCTTAGAACGCTACATGTGTTCAAGGTTTTTTATTGACTTCCCGGATGTGTCCGAGCAGCAAAGGAAGATTGAGTCCTACTTACGAAACCATTTCATCGGTGAAGAGAAAAGCAAGTATGATTACCTGATGATACTGCGCCAAGTTGTGAACGAAAGCACAGTCTGTTTGATGGGACATGAAAGAAGGCAGACATTGAACATGATCACCCTGTTGGCTCTGAGAGTACTAGGTGAACAGAATATCATTCCAAATGCTGCCAATGTCACCTGCTACTATCAACCTGCCCCTTATGTCAGTGACCGGAGTTTTAGCAATTACTACATTTCACACGGACAGCCACACCTTGTGTATCAGCCCTATCCGCTGCATATTAATATGCAGACTGGTTTGGTTTAATGATATTCAGAATGCAAATGCTTGACTTTGAACAAGACACAAGTTTTCAGGTCCCTGGAGATCTGAAGTAAGAGGACGGTTGTAACCCATTGAGTGTGCTGTTGGTTGCCAATGAAGTCAACAAGTCAGATATATGACAATTGTTGGGTAATCCATGTTGAAAGTGACCTGCAAATAGATGACCAAACAGTAGGTGTGCCACTTAATAATGATATGTGCTTAATCAGTGAAGAATAGTCAAAAGACCGACTAAGCACAGATGCATGGAGTATAATGTAGGGATTTTTTTCTAAAGGTAAATGTTGAACCAATACAAATGTAGAAAGACATATTAGTAGGTGAAGTTAGATGACGGGATTGATAGTCCTGCATACCCCTGCTTTGGTGATTGTAGTTAGGACCAGATGGTAAAGCTACTCTGAGATCAGAAATAATGATTGTTTTGAAAATAACCACATTGTACTTGAATTGTTCTGGTTACATAACAGTTAAGTATGTGTAGAAAACATTTCTTCAACGTGAAATGATCTTGTGACAAAGAAAAACTTTATTGACCAAAGATTGTTTGTAAATATTGCGTCACACAAGTGCCTAAGCTATGTAGATAGGTCATTAAAGCATCCAATAATTCTTTCAGGATGTGCCATTTAGTTATCATTAATTTGGGATTGGAGACATCGCATTTAATTAATTAACAGCTCATATTACACTCAAGCATATTATGGCATAGAATGAACCGTTTATCTAATTATGCCGTTGCCAGCAACATAACTTCTACAAGTGACTACATGTTTTTATGACTGCGGGTCGCCTGTATCATTTACAGATATGGAGTCTTTGAGATTTCTGTTGCAGCCTTCAGAAACTGACTCATCAACTTCAGGTAATTGAATTCAAGCAGTTGACTGCAAGAGAAGTTACTGATTGCAATTTTCACAAGAACTGACTGATACACCACCATTCTGTTCCAGGCAGTGCTAATAAAACTGAATGCAAGAAAAGTCATGTGAAGGGCCATTCACTCACACATACTTGGAAATTCAAAGTGTTAAAAATATATATCACTCTAAATACAATTAACGGTACTTCCTGATGTTGCAGTGTAATCATGCAAAAGGCATTTTAATAGTTCACTGATCTTTATTAAACATTATAATTCTACTTTTAATTTCAATCTGCCAGTTTTCTCTTGAGTAAAATTTATTGTTCCCCAAATTGTTTAGCGCCTTTGTCAGAAGATATCAATGGTTGTGGGAAATCAGAATAGTCTATTAATGATGAAGAAACATCAATCAATAATGTATTTAACAGTGCTCTCTTCAGCTAAAAAGTTAAAAACTGTTCACTTTATTAACAAAACTTTGGATAAGATTCCAGTAATTGCCATAATTATCTCTATATAAAAAAGTTAGCAACAATACAGAAAACATAAGTTAATAGAGAAGACCACTGAGAGTAGAGAAAATGAATTATTCTTTAGTTGGCTTACAATCATACAGCAAAGAAGGTGACCATTTCACCCGCTTGTGCGGAAGGCAGCTCTTTGAAAAACCCATCAATTCGTCCGATGCCCCTATTCTTTCCTCATCACTCTAAATGTTTCAAGCATACATTTGTGTTTATGTCTGGAATGTAAGCAATTTGTTGAACAGAAGATTTCTGTTCATCTTTTGTTTGGGCTGATGGCCTTTGTCCACAATTGCATTCCTTTGTTATTTTATTTTTCTTTATTCCTTAATTGATGGGATATGGGTGTTACTGTCAAGGGCAACATCTATCATCCATCTCCAATTGCCCTTGAACTGAATGAATTGCTAGGCTATTTCAGAGGGCAGTTGAGAGTCAACCATGTTGATGTGGATCTGGAGTCACATGTAGGCCAGACCAGGTAAGGATGGCAGACTTCCATTCCTATGGGATATTGGTGAACCAGATGGATTTTTACAGCAATCATTAATTGTTTCATGATCACCATTCCTAAGACTAACTTTTGGTTCTAGATTTTATAAATTGATTTCAAATTCTACCTGCTACCGTTGTGGAATTTGTGACCATTTCCCCCAGACTACGAAACTTCTGGATCGTTAGTATAATGTACTACACCACCATCTCTTCCAACCTGAAGACTCCTCAATTGTTTTTTTTTAATAATTCCTTATGGAAAGATACCAGAAAAATAGGTAACCTTGTTCTTGGCAAAAAAAGGTATTCATTTTTAAAGACAAATGCATTCTATTCAATCCAACTCAACTGAAGTATCACATATTAGGGAAAATTTTTTTTTGCTAACAAGTACAGCAGTTCCTCTTTGTCATTCTGGGAGTCATTCAAAAAAAAATGTCAAAGGAAGTATTTTGTAGAATATCTGTCTTTATGACAACATAGCACCTTCTGTGAAGAATCACAATTTACTCGAGTCACTTACAGAAAAAATAAAAAAGTAATGTTCTTACAGGTGAAAAATTACAGCAACATCTGCCAAGATTCAGAGGTTGCATCTGGAATTAAATAAAACACAAAGAAAGCAATTAATTGATGACAATATATCTGGAAATATTAGTTACTACTTCTAAACTCAATGTGAGAAGTTGAGAAGTACAATGTCAATGCATGTTACCAATGAACGCTGTCTTTATAACAACAGAAAAATCCAGTGAAAGGAAAGTGCAATTTGGTAGCAATGTGGTTAAGTCTACTTACTGCAAAAAAGAAGTGATATAGCTTTAATTATTTTTACATGGCCCAGGAGCTTGGAAATTCTTGGGGACCTGGCTTTGTTCAACTTTATTCAAGTCTAGAAACCCTGCCCTAAGACCTATATTATAACAGGTCTACTTGTGGTTAATCAATGGTAACCATTTAAGCCCATGCCTGTCTCAGTATTAAAAGATGGAGCAGAATTGTACTAAGGACTAAAGAGAAACTTGTTTCCCTTCCTTTGGCTTCTTCCAAAGCCATTCTAATTAAGGAATATTTCTTCCGGGATTGATTACTTTGGGCTAGCGAAGAAGCCTTGTCTTAACCACTGTTGGCTCGACTGAAGGATTTCTTATAGGGCTAGAGGGCAGGATGTCCCAGGAATCCTAGTTACACACTTTCTTGATGTAGTAAAATATTCACTTTCAATTGGAATTTAAAGTCCATTCTGAACAGAATAAATCCTGGCTGGTCTGGGAGCTGGCCTATAGACTGGGCTGTTTCCAGATGAAAATGAATATTGCAAGAAATTCAAAACTGCAATTTTTTTAAAATCTTCAAGACCACTTTGTCAAATAATATTTCATTATGGCCAACTTTCGTTTTAGCATAGGCCTGATTTTTCAAACAAGAATGTGGAACATAATACAAATCTCATATTAGGAAGTTATTCTGCATCATACTAAATTTACCAAACCTTAATCCCTTGCCACAGAAATAGAAAAGAGCCTGTTTATTACAATCAATGAATCAATACAAGCAAAAACTATAAATGTTTTATAAAACAAATATCAAAATTCCTGGCACTGGATTTTCTGTTATCTCAGGACAAGGGGGAGATATTTTTACAGCCAATTGTAACTCAAGGCATTAAATGAAAAAAAAAATCAGGTCAGTTCTCATCTCATTTTCAAAGCTGAAAATACATATTACAATTTGCTCAAAACCACTGAACAAATGATATACCGTAAGACAAGCAAAAATTATCACATTTGAACGGCATACTATCAGCATTTGTTTGATACCAGCATTCACATCTTGGAGCCAGATGGTTCAAGCCCCATGCCAGAAACCTGACCTCAAAATCTAAGCTACTAATTCAGACCAACACTGGGGGAGTGCTACACTGTCAGAGTTAAATATCTTATAATTGAAATTTTAAATCATCAGCCTTGCTGCACTCTCAGGTGATTGTAAAAGATCCTGTAACACTGCTTGAAGAAAAGTAGAGGAATTGTCTCCAGTGTCCTGGCCACTATTTATTAGCTGACATCACAAAAGCAAATTATTTGGTCATTATCTCAATGCTGTTTGTCAGACCTTGCCATAACTGCCCTTTTCCTTCATCACTGCAGTGACTACACTTCAATGTGCTTTTGGATTATCTGAGGTTGTAGAAGGCCCAAGCGAAATACAAGTTTTCTTTCAATGCAAACGAAAAATTGAATGCACTATGCTGAGTGATACAGCAGTAAAACTATATTTTCTACAGATTATTTTTAGTGTATTTAAGCGTATAAACCTCAAAATTATACTCCCAAATATTAGCACATGGGTTAACTAATAATTTGAAATAGCATACTAAAAGAATTTCATTCAAATGCTTTAGGTACTCATGTGTTAATATTTACAAAAGTGTAATTTCAAAGACTTGTTGTTCTTGGTGTTCCTATATTGTATAAATCACAAAATACATATGTATATAGTCAAATACAAATATAAAGCTCTATATTTTGCCTAAGTAGTTTTGAGAGACTACATTTAACCCTGGAACTCCGTGAATATGGAAACAAATTGAGCAGCATCATTCTATCTGGCCAAGATCTCTTCCTTTTGACAGTCCTGTTCCTGTTTTCTGAAGATGTTGTACAATCTCGTATTCCTCAGTTTGTTGTAAACAGATCAGAATTTCAAAACTAGTGTATACCTTGATTTGTGTTGGTTAACTTGAAAACTATTGATTACTGTCCATTTAAGTGTAATGGAAGCTGATCATGCCACATGTATCTGCATTGCAAAAGAGAATGATTTTGCAAACTGTGAATTGAGTACAATTATATCACCAGCTGCGATACTGAGTTGCCAATATTTTTCTACTAATACAACAGAGTATTTTAAAATTGTCAAGTGCATTACCACGGTGATTTTATATATTCCTAACATGCAGTTACTGGCATATTGAGAGGCAGTTTGAGAGATGTAGAATAGTTTTGAGGAGATCTTAATTGATGGAGGAATAAATAATCCAGGCTTGTGCAGTTCTTTTCCATTCACTGTAAAATTGTATCAGAGTTGTAAGTACTCATGGTGCACCCACACAATTATCAAGTATCAATTGAAATTTTCGGTGCACTAGTCACTTGTAGGGCCATTTCAGCAACTGTTGTTTCATTACATATAACTGTGGTACAGAAACCCTTGTATAAAATGGGCCTAATGAGAAGCTTTGAAATGAAAACAAATAAACAAGAAGATCCACCTAAGGCTTTTGTGTACCTTGGAGATAATTAAATCTTTTCTTTCATTATTGAAAAGCGAACTTCAAAGATTTATGATGTGAAATGTGAATGGAAGATTGTTCAGTGCTGGTTGTTGCTGTTGCCTTCTGCATTTTTATTGTTTCATGTCTAGACTTGTGTACAAATCTATTTTGTTCTGTTTTTGGTGATTGTGTACTTGTTTACAGTGTTCAATAAAAAGTGGAAATTTTAAATGAGGTTTCAAATAAATGTTTGCAATTCCTCTGATTTTCTTGCTCTGGAACAAGATTAATAATTTATATATAATAAAAAGAGCCTATCTGTTACTACAAGTTATTTTATACTGGCTCCAAAGGACTTTGTTTGAAGCTACCCTGTTGAAAGTATCTTAACATACAATCCTTCGAATCATTGGCCTTACAGTCTTCATGTTAATCCTCACTGTGCTACTTTTAATAGAGCTCAGCTCACCTGTTTGTTAGATGAATTTATCATAGCTAAGTATTCCATTCTAAGGGTAAGGTGGAAAAGAACTGATTAAGCCAATTCAAATGACCATGATGTCTGACTGCTTTGTGACGATTCCTTCTGTTGCTGTAACCAATTGTGTTGGAAAACAGAATTCTGTGAAAATGATAACATTCAAAGAACAGAGAGTTATAAGAGTCACAGCATGGAAACCAGTCCTTTGGCCCAACTCGACCATGCTGGCCAGGTTTCCCAAACTGAACTAGTCCCATTTGCCTGTGTTTGGCCCATATCCCTCTCAACCTTTCCTATTCATGTTACTGTCTAAATGTCTCTTAAATATTGTAATTGTACCTGCCTCTACCACTTCCTCTGGCAGTTCATTCCATACACGTACTACCCTCTGCGTGAAAAAGTTACCCCTCAGGTCCTTTTTAAATCTTTCCTCTCTCACTTTGAACCTATGCCCTCTAGTTTTTGACTCCCC